GGTGCCTATAGTCCCAGCTACTTGGGAGACTGAGGCAAGAGAATCTCTTGAGCCTAAGAGTTTGAGGTTGCTGTGAACTATGACACCACAACACTCTACAGAGGGCGATGAAGTGAGACTCTATCTCAAAAAATAAATAAATAAAATAAAGGAACATGGGAGTTATAAGTTGTTTTTATGCATTTATTTGCAAATAGCTAACACTCTTTAGTGATAAGTATGTTCATATAACCCGAGTCTCTTAGTGTCTTAGTGCAATCATCTGTGGAAGGTGAATGACAAGACTGACTTCAGGGCTGTGGTAAGGATTAAAAGACATAATGTGTGAGGAAGTGCCTTGAACATCTAAAAAACACCTGAATAAGTAGTCCTGGCACAAACTGTATATATAAATGCAGACAACAGAACTGGCTGGAGTTAGTTATAGGAGCCCCCTCTTTTCAGAGGTAGAACTTTAAACATGCCCAGAAGGAACATGGAGAGAAGTGGAAAGAACATTCAGGGGTGCTGAGGAGATAAAGATTATAAATCTGAAGTATTGCACCCCAACTGGGAAAAGGGCATAAAAGGCAAGTACAAGTACAGAGAGAAAATGATTTAAGTTAGTGGGAAGCAAACAGATTAGCTTAACCACACCTGCAACAAAAAAGAAAGCAAAGATACTAACCAAATCTATTAACATCTTAAAGACGTCTTGAGGATTATCCTGGTCTTCCATCTCCTTGGAAGTGTTTTCTGAAGGGAGTATACCCAAGAGTTTCTGCCCTAAGGTTTTCTTACTTTTCTGTGGTGGACATCCTGAAATTCAACATGAAACAAAAACACCTTCATTGATATACTTACACTGAAACAAGACCAATTCCTGTCAATCAGAAAGTTGAACACCTTCACCTTGGGAGACCTTTAGGACAAGAGAGTCAGGCAGCACAGCATAGGGGACACAAACAGCCTTCAAAGCTGGGACAGCAGTTTTGGTGAGAAACTGAGAGGGCTGCCCTGCCACAGGCACAGCTGCCCCTTAGTGCCACTGACGGCTGCCATGAAAACACAGTCTAGTCATCATCACAGTCTTCAAGAGTAGCCAGATTTGTCCCTGAACATCTTCGTTTTAAAAGTCAACCCCAGTCTGTATTATTTGAAAACACTATACAGACCCCACAAAACATGTTTCTAGCCCACAGAAGGCCTATGAACCATGCCACAGACAAATATCTGGACTTGAATCCTCAGTTATCCACATACTAACTATATTGGATGAGTGTTCTGAGTTTTATTTTCCTTACTTCTTAAATGAGAATAATAATATTAATAGAAGTTCCCTACTTCTCAGGGAACTGTGTTAAATAACAACACAGGGTCTCAGGGGATGGAGGAATGGGGAGTTCTGTTTAGAGGTAGAGTCTCTGGGGAGATGAAAAGTTCTAGAGCTGGATAGTGGTGTGGGTTACACAACAATGTGACTGTACTTAATGCCACTTACCAACAGTTAAAGTAGTAAACGTTACATATATACTTTTTACTACAAACTAAAAAACACATAGAAGCCAGGCGTGTGGCTCACACCTGTAAGACTTGAACTCTGGGAGGCCAGGTGGGTGGATCGCCTGAGCTCAGGAGCAAGACCAGCCTGAGCAAAGCAAGACCCCGTTTCTACAAAATAGAAATAAACTAGCTGGGCATTGTGGCAGTTACCTGTAGTCCCAGCTACTTGGGCGGCTGAGTCAAGAGGATTGCCTGAGCCCAAGAGTTTGAGGTTGCTGGGAGCTATGATGCCACAGCATTCTACCCAGGGTGACTAAGATTCTGTCTCAAAAAAAAAAAAATTGAGATTTTAGAAAGAAAATTTCAAAAATGCTTTTGTAGTGCTCTGCAAATGGTCTAATGGAACTCTGAGAACAGGTAAGGGGAGGCCCCTTCCCCCCCAATCCTAATGAACTATAGACTGGGACTACCCTGACCTCTTCCACAAAGAACTATAAAATAGAGGGAAAGCGAAGCAAACTAAGCTCTGACAGTGGCTGAATGAATCTATGCCCTATTTTCTGTCTGAAAAAAAAAGAAAATGTGGGGCCAGGTACAGTAGCTCATGCCTGTAATTCTACCAGTCTGGGAAGCCAAGGTGGGTGGACTGCCTCAGCTCACAGGTTTTTTTGTTTTTTTTTTTT